AACATAAAAGACTCATAACGTAAAAAGTGGGTGTTACATTGTGCAGTGGCATTAAGTGCCGTAATATGCACCTCTGCCTACTCCTTCAGGGATAAAAGGCGTGATATTATGTTATGTTTTATACTAACTTCCTATCCTACTACTTAATTTCCTTTCAGAATGGTGTAGTAACCTTCGCTATAGTAGAAGATGAGGACCTTCGTAAAAAACTGACGTCCAATGAACATGCGACAGTTGTGTATAAATACAAGGATGTCACCAAAGAAATAGAAAGTGTGGAAGAAGATGAAATAATAGACGACATCGTTCGTTATTTACCCAAAGTTGAAGTTATTGGGCCGGAGAAATTTAAGGTATGTAGTGTTGTCTATAAAACCAGTTTTTTTATGGGATTTTTTTTAAGGGGGGAAAGTCATGGAATGACTGCTCCCGCTTGGGTGAGGCGGGAGGGAGTGTCAGACTCTTACTGACTAAAAACCACCCCGTTCCTTCTCCTGCGCGTCGAGCCGGAGCCCCGGTTACCCGTTAGGTTCTCCGCGACTCCGAATCGGCATCGGCCCTATTGGACCCCATCTGTGGTGGTCTGATGGCTCTTTGAGGCGCGCGCGAAACGCGACGCGTCGTACGCTTTTCCTGGTACGAGCAGGCGAATCACCTGATGGTAAGCAATCGACATCCCAAACATCAGAGGCGTTACAAGTGTATTACCAGTTTTAGGGATTAGGAATTTAAGGATTGTTGGGGGTTCAGGGATAAGGGAAGGGGGGTAACTGAGCTTCCAGTATATAGTGTTCTCTATAAAACGAATATCTAGTTTTTTCTTACTTTATTCGCTTTGATCTTATCGTAATAGGAATGATGTTTACTGGCAAATTCGATTTTAAATTTGTATGAGATTGCAAGTTGTGATATCTTGCGTCCAATATCGTAATTATCTTGGAAAAACTAAAAATAAACTTAAAATCAAATCAATTAAGCAACTGCTCTGACTGCTGCCTGCTTTGACTGACTACTGAATCAGGATATTTTTAGAAAAAAAAAATTCAATGAGTCAACGTCGCTGTTGATGGCATGAAGATATTTAAATAGCAATTTATCATAACATAACATCACGCCTATTATCCCCGAAGGGGTAGGCAGAGGTGCACACAGAAGTAACACCCACTTTTCACTATTTATATAATAGTAATAAGGTGGTGAGCCTATTGCCATATACCGGGCACAATTCCAGACTCCGTGCTACTACTGAGATTTGTTTTTAAACCCAGTAATACTTTGCCCAACCCGGGAATTGAACCCGAGACCCCTTGCCCGGCAGTCGCACTTGCGACCACTGGGCCAACGAGGCAGTCCTCGTTTTTCAGCAATTTATCATTTAGTCGAATATTAATGTTTTTGTTATCCTGTACAGAAAATCAGAAACAGTTTGCGGTCAGGATCACAAAAGACGTGGGCTTTCTTCTTCTCGACTAAAAACAAGAATAGATTGCAGCTGCATCAGATGATTAATGCATTCCCTGCTATGAATTTCGGTAAGTTCTATGCACAGAGAAATAATAAAATTCTAGTTCAACATTGTTTATAGTTAACATGTTCAAAATGAAGTTTTATTAACAATTTGATTGCTAAGAGTGTATTTGTTTTTAATCTTAATGAAGTGAAAGAGGTACATACCTCTTGGTACATTCAATTGGCATTCCAAAGTCTCTGCTTACACCCATGGGAGACATGCGTGATGTTATATTATAATCAGAATAAAAAGCTTATGTCAAAATACCACTCAAATTTAAGACGAGCCCAAGTATAGTTCTGTTCAAATTCTTTGTAAAATGACAAAGATGGTAATTTTTTTTTTTTTTTTGTTATTAAGCCTTCTGTTCTGCAAGCACTATTTATTTCGAAATGTATTCTGTACATGTACCTGTCTTGTGTGAGCATGATTGTATGACCGAGGGGAGGGGTTTAATCATACGATATTTAGTTGCCTACCCTGTCTCGAAAACCTGTGCACCACACTGCTATTTGTAACAGAAATGTAACGGGAAGGTACTGCCTCCTGAGATACAGGCAACGCCTAGTTTAGGAGACAGAGCTTTATGTATTTAGATGATGGTATATGAATAAATTATTATTATTATTATTTCTAAGGTGAGTACCTTTTTCTCGAAATTAAAAAAAATCGGTAATAATATGAAGTTCACGGGCCTAAACCAAGTGAACTTCATGGGGCACTTGTTTGGTGGTCTTTTGTAAAAACTTCCTAACAATATGACAGGTGTTCAGAATTGCGGTTACCGCATGGTAGTGTATGTGTTTTATTATTTAAGTACAACTTTAAATTGAGTAGCCTTTCAGTATTTGATCGTTACAATAGTAATTATTAACTTACTAGCTACTTCCGCGCGGTTTCACACGCTATGCTCAGCTCCTATTGGTCGTAGCGTGATGTTTTATAGCCTATAGCCATCCTCGGTAAATGCACTATCCAACACAAAAAGAATTATTCAAATCAGACTTGTAGTTACGGAGATTAACGCGTTTAAACAAACAAACAAAAAAAAAACAAACTCTTCCGCTTTATATAATAGTATAAGAAATACTATTCCAGGTGAAATAAACTGCGACAAAATGCCAGAGTTATGCGCATCACTGCACGTGGAGTCTGCACCTGCGTGGGGAGTCATGAAGAAGGGGGGAGTCTACCAACGAGCCCCTCCTAGTGCTGACGTAAGAGACTTCTTACAAACTGCTACTGCAGCACTTAACCTTCATACATTGTCACCTTCGGATCTTCAGAGGATATTGAATGGAGGTAAGCTGTTGTTATCTTACTCAACGAATCGTTCACTTAAATGTCCGTTAATGATTTCAATCATTTATTTCTTTATTCGTCACTGACTGCACGGCTGCCGCGCAACGTGTCGCAGGTTCGATTCCCGCACGGAACTACTCTTTGTTCGATCCAAAGATTGTTGTTCCGGGTCTGGGTGTCATGTGTGTGTGAACTTGTATGTTTGTAAACGCACCGACGACACAGGAGAAGATCCTAGTGTAGGACAACGTTTAAAAAAACAAGAAAAGTAAAGAAAAAATCTTGATTTTTGGCAAACATAATCTCCATACCAATCTCTACCTTTCTTCTACCTATGTTTATTAATTCCCCCTCTACCCCTCTCCTTCTACTCTCTCTCCCTCTCTGTCCCTCTCTCTCTCTCTATATTCTATTCTTCTCTTCTACACCAAGTACTATAAAAGAATTTGTCATATACAATATACTATATCTCTAATATATATCTATAGAGGACACAAGTGTCTGGGTGTTACTCCTGGCTCCGTACGGCACTCAATGGGAACACATCGTCGAGCCGTTCACACAGGCCAGCTTAGACCACCTGGAAAATGAGAATATTAATGTAAGTATTTTTTTTTCTTCCATTGCATTATTTTCTGTATGGCATAGAGTGGTAAAGAAGCAGACGAATAACTTGATGGTAAGCAATCGGGACCGCCCATGGACACACGCAACACCGAAGAAGATACAAATGCGTTGTCAACCTTGGCCTCCCGCAACCTCACTTACATAACTCCCCAACATAACGCTTTGGTTGTTTTACGCCGGCTTCCTACTCGGCCGTGGTATCACTCCAGTCTAGCCGGCCCATTCATGCCGAAGCATGGCTCTTCCTTCGTCTTCTCTGTCGTTTTCCTCTTAGCAGAGCGGTCTAGCTCAGTCTGACACTGGGTTTATTGTTGCCGATTTCACTTTTTTTTATGGTATATATAAGCCGGTAAACGAGCAGACGGATCACCTGATGGTAAGTAATCGGTGTCGCCCATGGACACCTGGAACACCAGAAGCCGATACAAGTGCGTTACCAAGCTTTTGGGAATTCGAGGAGTGGGGAGATTGGGGAAGCGGGGAGGGAGCTGGGCCTCCGGTAACCTCACTCACATGACGAAACACAACGCAAGCGTTGCTTCACGTCGGTTTTCTGTGAGGCCGTGGTATCACTCCGGTCGAGCCGGACATTCGTGCCGAAGCATGGCTCTCCCACACTTAAGACTTAATCGGTCTAGCGCGTATGTGATCTTTCTTCAGGACTTTTAATGTTTTGTTTCTACAGTTCGGCATAATGTCATGCAGTGCTAAGGCAGCGCAGTATTGTACGCAAGTATCGCACCAGCCTGTAATAGTAATACAACATGGCGTCAGGCGCAAAATATACCACAAACAAGACTACGGGACCTTGATGACGGACTTTATTGACATGGCAGTTAAAAGTCAAGGTAAATGTATTGATATAATATTAATTATGTACATTAGTTGTATTATAACATCCAGTCGTATTATTATAGTATCCAGACTGCCTCTTTGGCCGAGTGATCGCAAGTGCGACAGCTAGGCAAGAGGTTTCGGGTTCGATTCCCGGGACAGGCAAAGTATTACTAGGTTTTCTCTATAGTAGCACGACGTCTGGAATTGTGCCCGGTATATGACAATAGGCTCACCCCCTATTACATGGAACTCATAACATAAATAGTGAACAAAGGGCATTAAGATTATGGGCAAAACAATCATTGTACAGTGGCATTAAGTGCCATAATGTGCACTGCCTGCCCCTTCTGAACCATAAAAAATTGAACTATATTTATATAAAAGAAATACAACATTTTATTTACGACGAATCTAGATAACTTCTCTCAATATTTACTGAGTCTGTATATTTCCTAATAAGTTATTCATACTAATCATTAAGTACTAGTTGACACCTTAATATAACAATTTGATTCCTCAACAGACATTGATCTATCCGAGAAACAACTCCTGGAGATAATGCACGTATCGTCCCGCAAGTACACGTGGCTGATCGCATTCGTACCGTCCGGCAAATCGTGCGGGTATACATGCGATAACCTGCCTTATGAGTGGATGGTGGTCGCTAAGAAAGTGAGTATTTTGTTAGACAAATTACTTAAAATAAATGCTAGTCTAGATTTAAATTCGATGTAAGGTATGTGGTGATGAATGTAAGAAATCTTATCACCACTTCTGACTCCTAGCGAATATATAAGAATAAGAATAAGAATATTTTATTTAGCAAAACAAAGGACAAGTATACCTATTATTTAACAGAAAGCGATAATGAATACATAGAAATCACAATCACAATTGCAAGGTAGACCAAAAAATACTAGTTTATAATGTATACATACAAGTTAACATAAGCAGTGGCATTTCTGTAGTATCAATAATACACAGCAACAGCAATCCTATAATACACCTTGCAAACAAAAGTAATTTAACTCAGTAATTCACAAGACAATAAGTTTGATACCAAAAGTGTAATAAATGTCCACAGACGGTATACGTAGATTTTTTACTTTACCTCCCGTGCTAGTCAAAGACTGTGTTACGGCAAGGTAAGATTCTCGCTCGAACGATTTATTTTCAATCATGTAACGTAGAACATAAAGTACCCTTTTGCTTACAGCTTTGATTTTTCAACTACTAATAATTTTATAATAAGTAACAGCCACAAAGTATGAACAAATAGTACATGCAAAACTTTTAGACAAAAAATCTGGTGCGAAAAATTTAACTGGTGATCAGTACAAAATTAGTAACTGGCCAATATTTATGTGCAACTCATTTTTGGTATGTACCTTTGATATATGCGTAATGTATAGTTTTCCCACTCTGTAGTTATGTCCTTGTAAAGTGATGAGGAGTAAACATTTAAGTATTAACATTATTAATGTAAATGTAGATATTTTGAAGCATTTGGTACAAAATACAAAATAAAGAATAAAAAAATAAAAAATAAA